GTTCATGTCTTCTGCCCATTTCTTGATTGGATTCTTTGTTCTTTGGGTGTTGAGTTTGATGAGTTCTTTATAGATTTTGGATACTAGCCCTTTATCTGATATGTCATTTGCAAATATCTTCTCCCATTCTGTCGGTTGTCTTTTGGTTTTGTTGACTGTTTCCTTTGCTTTGCAAAAGCTTTTTATCTTGATGAAGTCCCAATAGTTCATTCTTGCCCTTGCTTCCCTTGCCTTTGGCGATGTTTCTAGGAAGAAGTTGCTTCGGCTGAGGTCAAAGAGGTTGCTGCCTGTGTTCTCCTTTAGGATTTTGATGGACTCCTCTCTCACATTGAGGTCTTTCAACCATTTGGAGTCTATTTTTGTGTGTGGTGTAAGGAAATGGCCCAGTTTCATTCTTCTGCATGTGGCTGTCCAATTTTCCCAACACCATTTGTTGAAGAGACTGTCTTTGTTCCATTGGACATTCTTTCCTGCTTTGTCAAAGATGAGTTGACCATAGAGTTGAGGGTCCATTTCTGGGCTCTCTATTCTGTTCCATTGATCTATGTGTCTGTTTTTGTGCCAGTACCATACTGTCTTGATGATGACAGCTTTGTAATAGAGCTTGAAGTCCGGAATTGTGATGCCGCCAGCTTTGCTTTTCTTTTTCAACATTCCTCTGGCTATGCGGGGTCTTTTCTGGTTCCATACAAATTTTAGGATTATTTGTTCCATTTCTTTGAAAAAAGTGGACGATATTTTGATGGGGATTGCATTGAATGTGTAGATTGCTCTAGGTAGCATTGACATCTTCACAATATTTGTTCTTCCAATCCATGAGCATGGAACGCTTTTCCATTTCTTTGTGTCTTCCTCAATTTCTTTCATGAGTATTTTATAGTTTTCTGAGTACAGATCCTTTGTCTCTTTGGTTAGATTTATTCCTAGGTATCTTATGGTTTTGGGTGCAATTGTAAATGGGATCGACTCCTTAATTTCTCTTTCTTCTGTCTTGTTGTTGGTGTATAGGAATGCTACTGACTTCTGTGCATTGATTTTATATCCTGCCACTTTACTGAATTCCTGTATGAGTTCTAGCAGTTTTGGGGTGGAGTCTTTGGGGTTTTCCACATAAAGTATCATATCATCTGCAAAGAGTGAGAGTTTGACTTCTTCTTTGCCAATTTGGATGCCTTTAATTTCTTTTTGTTGTCTGATTGCTGTGGCTAGGACTTCCAATACTATGTTGAATAGCAGTGGTGATAGTGGACATCCCTGCCGTGTTCCTGACCTTAGGGGGAAAGCTCTTAGTTTTTCCCCATTGAGAATGATATTCGCTGTAGGTTTTTCATAGATGGCTTTTATGATATTGAGGTATGTACCCTCTATCCCTATACTCTGAAGAGGTTTGATCAAGAAAGGATGCTGTACTTTGTCAAAAGCTTTTTCTGCATCTATTGAGAGGATCGTATGATTCTTGTTCTTTCTTTTGTTAATGTATTGTATCACATTGATTGATTTGCGGATGTTGAACCAACCTTGCAGCCCAGGGATAAATCCCACTTGGTCATGGTGAATAATCCTTTTAATGTACTGTTGGATCCTATTGGCTAGTATTTTGGTGAGAATTTTTGCATCCATGTTCATCAGGGATATTGGTCTGTAATTCTCCTTTTTGATGGGGTCTTTGTCTGGTTTTGGGATCAAGGTAATGCTGGCCTCATAAAATGAGTTTGGAAGTTTTCCTTCCATTTCTATTTTTTGGAACAGTTTCAGAAGAATAGGTATTAATTCTTCTTGAAATGTTTGGTAGAATTCCCCTGGGAAGCCATCTGGCCCTGGGCTTTTGTTTTTTGGGAGATTTTTGATGACTGCTTCAATTTCCTTAGTGGTTATAGGTCTGTTCAGGTTTTCTATTTCATCCTGGTTCAGTTTTGGTAGTTGATACATCTCTAGGAATGCATCCATTTCTTCCAGGTTATCTAATTTGCTGGCATAGAGTTGCTCATAATATGTTCTTATAATTGTTTGTATTTCTTTGGTGTTGGTTGTGATCTCTCCTCTTTCATTCATGATTTTGTTGATTTGGGTCATTTCTCTTCTCTTTTTGATAAGTCTGGCCAGGGGTTTATCCATCTTGTTAATTCTTTCAAAGAACCAGCACCTAGTTTTGTTGATCTGTTCTACTGTTCTTTTAGTTTCTATTTCATTGATTTCTGCTCTGATCTTTATTATTTCTCTTCTCCTGCTGGGTTTAGGCTTTATTTGCTGTTCTTTCTCCAGCTCCTTTAGGTGGAGGGTTAGGTTGTGTACTTGAGACCTTTCTTGTTTCTTGAGAAAGGCTTGTATTGCTATATACTTTCCTCTTAGGACTGCCTTTGCTGCATCCCAAAGATTTTGAATAGTTGTGTTTTCATTTTCATTGATTTCCATGTATTTTTTTTAATTCTTCTTTAATTTCCTGGTTGACCCATTCATTCTTCAGTAGGATGCTCTTTAGCCTCCATGTATTTGGGTTCTTTCTGACTTTCCGCTTGTGATTGAGTTCTAGTTTCAAAGCATTGTGGTCTGAAAATAGGCAGGGAATGATCCCAATCTTTTGGTACCGGTTGAGACCTGATTTATGACCTAGGATGTGATCGATTCTGGAGAATGTTCCATGGGCACTAGAGAAGAATGTGTATTCCGTTGCTTTGGGGTGGAATGTTCTGAATATGTCTGTGAAGTCCATTTGGTCCAGTGTGTCATTTAAAGTCTTTATTTCCTTGTTGATCTTTTGCTTAGACGATCTGTCCATTTCAGTGAGGGGGGTGTTAAAGTCCCCCACTATTATTGTATTGTTGTCGATGTGTTTCTTTGCTTTTGTTATTAATTGCCTTATATAATTGGCTGCTCCCATGTTAGGGACATAGATATTTACAATTGTTAGATCTTCTTGTTGGATAGACCCTTTAAGTAGGATATAATGTCCTTCCTCATCTCTTATTACAGTCTTTGGTTTAAAATCTAATTTGTCTGATATAAGGATTGCCACCCCAGCTTTCTTTTGGTGTCCATTAGCATGGTAAATGGTTTTCCACCCCCTCACTTTCAATCTGGGGGTGTCTTTGGGTCTAAAATGAGTCTCTTGCAGACAGCATATCGATGGGTCTTGTTTTTTAATCCAATCTGATAGCCTGTGTCTTTTGATTGGGGCATTTAGCCCATTTACATTCAGGGTAACTATTGAAAGATAGGAATTTAGTGCCACTGTATTGCCTGTAAGGTGACTGTTACTGTATATTGTCTGTGTTCCTTTCTGGTCTATGTTGCTTTTAGGCTTTCTCTTTGCTTAGAGGACCCCTTTCAAGATTTCTTGTAGGGCTGGTTTTGTGTTTGCAAATTCCTTTAGTTTTTGTTTGTCCTGGAAGCTTTTTATCTCTCCTTCAATTTTCAATGACAGCCTAGCTGGATAGAGTATTCTTGGCTGCATATTTTTCTCATTTAGTGCTCTGAATATATCCTGCCAGTCCTTTCTGGCCTGCCAGGTCTCTGTGGATAGGTCTGTTGCCAATCTAATGTTTCTACCCTTGTAGGTTACATATCTCTTCTCCCGAGCTGCTTTCAGGATTTTCTCTTTGTCTCTGAGACTCATAAGTTTTACTATTAGATGTCGGGGTGTTGACCTATTTTTATTGATTTTGAGAGGGGTTCTCTGTGCTTCCGGGATTTTCATGCCTGTTTCCTTCCCCAAATTAGGGAAGTTCTCTGCTATAATTTGCTCCATTATACCTTCTCCCCTCTCTCTCTTTCTTCTTCTTCTAGGATCCCAATTATTCTAATGTTGTTTCATCTTATGGTATTGCTTATCTCTCGAATTCTGCCCTCGTGATCCAGTAGTTGTTTATCTCTCTTTTTCTCAGCTTCTTTATTTTCCATCATTTCATCTTCTATATTACTGATTCTCTCTTCTGCCTCATTTATTCTAGCAGTTAGCGCCCCCATTTTTTATTGCACCTCATTAATAGCCTTTTTGATTTCTATTTGGTTGGAGTTTAGTCTTTTACTTCTCCAGAAAGGGTTTCTCTAATAACTTCCATATTTTTTTCAAGCCCAGCTAGTATCTTTAAAGTGATGATTCTGAACTCTAGATCTGACATCGTACTAATGTCTGTATTGAGTAGGTCCCTGGCAGTCGGTACTACCTCTTGTTCTTTTTGTTGAGGTGATTTTTTCCGTCTTGTCATTTTGTGCAGAGGAGAATAGATTAATGAGAGAACAAAATGCTAGCAGAGTAACCACGTCCCCAGAAAATATACTTTAAAGAATCAGAAAAGACCTGAAGCAGTGGGAAAAGAAAGGGAAAGAGAGAAAAAAGAAAAAGAAAAAAAAGAAAAAGATAAAGATAAAGATAAAAACAAAAACAAACAAAACAAAACAACAACAACAAAAAAAAAAACCAGAATGTGATCAAATATGATCAGGCTGGTATATAGATCAGTGCCACACACTAGATTTGGGGTGTATTTTGGTCTTTTAGAAGAAAGTGCCTCCCAAAATTTTAAAGGAAGAAAAACTTATATATGTACAAAAATAAGGGTTGATATGATGAAGGTATGGAATATGACTGTAAAGATGGAAATTATAAAAAATTTTATAAAAGGAATTGATAAGTTGTTTGAAAAAAGAAAGAAGAGGATTTAAAAAAAGAAAAAAGAAAAAAAAAGGGAGAGGATGTGATCAGGCAGGGGAATAGAAAACACCATATACTAGAGATTTAGGGTATATTTTAATCTGTTAGAAGAAACTATCTCAAAATTTTAAAGAGAGAACAACTTATATATATAAGCCAAAAATATGGGTAACTACTATGAAGGGATAGACTATGACTCTAAAAATGAAAAATAAAAATGTTTTTTTTAAAAAAAGGGATTGATAAGATGTTGGTTGAAAAAGGGAAAAAGAAAAATTCAAAAAGAAAAAAGATAGTTAAAAAAAATTAACTTTGAAAGACTAAAGAATCATGGTAAAAAAGCCGTGAATTCTATGTGCAGTAGTCCCCTAGCACTGGAGTTCTGCCGTTCTCATTGACCGGTAAACTTGGTCTTGGCTGGCTGTTCTCGCTGATCTTCTGGGGAGGGGCCTGTTGCCGTGGTTTCCAAATGTCTCTGCCGGAAGCGGAATTGCCCCGCCCTTGCCCCCTCCCGGCTGAGTAATCTGCTCGCGTTTGCTCTCCGGGGCTTTTGTTCCCTGCGAGCTTTCCGTCCAGCTTTGGAGGCGAGAGTGAAAATGGCGGCCTCCCAATCTCCGCCCCGGAGGAGCCGAGAACTCGGGGCCCCACTCCTCAGTGAGCCCCCAGAGAAAAGCCGTCAGTCACTCCCGCTCTCCGGCCGTCAGTCTCCCCGCTCTCCGGCCGCACCCCGTGCTCGCCCGGCCTGTGACCGCGCATTTCTATCTCTGGCACCCGACCCTGGGTGGAGTCTCCAAACCCAGCAGATCCCTGCGGTGCACTCCCGCGCTGCTCCTCCCGGGGGAAGAAGGTGAGTCTCCCCGGATCTGCCGCTTGTTGGGTCCCTGCTGGAGGAGCAGGGGCCCGACGGTGCCGCGGATCACGGTTTATGGCCACCCCGAGCTGAGGGCCCGCGCCTGGGCTCCGCCTCTGCAGCCGGCTTCCCGGCTCCGATACCTGGGAGCTCTGCCACACTCAGGCACCCCCGGTCTTTCTGCAACCCCAAGGGTCCTGAGACCACACTGTCCCGGAGGGTTCCACCCCCCGCTTAGCCACCAGAGTGACGTCCCTCGGCGGAGCAGACTTTTAAAAGTTCCGATTTTGTGCTCCGCGGCTCTATCACTTGCCAGAAGCGGCCGACGGAGGCCCCTCCCCCGCCGTCTATCCTCCCGAATATATCGCCGTGGATTCACTTCTCCGCACGTCCTACCTTCCAGAAAGTGGTCGTTTTTCTGTTCAGAGAGTTGTTGCTGTTCCTTTCTTCGATCTCCTGTTGGGTTTGTAGGTGTTCAGAATGGTTTGATCCCTATCCAGCTGAATTCCTGAGAGGAGACGAAATCCAGGTCTCCTACTCCTCCGCCATCTTGCTCCGCCCCCTCTCATCAGACTTCTGCTAGACCAGAAGTTCCATGAAGGCAGGGGCCTTATCTGTCACTTTCTCCACTCTGACCCTCCTGGCCTGGCCCAGAGCAGCCTATTAGTCTATCGGTGAACAGATTTTGAAAACAGTAGCTGGAGGCGGAAGGAAGAGGCAGCTTTCAAGTCTTTCCTAAGCCACCCGACCCCGCAGCTACTCATCATTTTATGCCGTCAATCCCTAGCCCTCACCCCACCTCACCCCCGTGCCCTTGCTTGGCTTTGCTTGATGTTCATTTCAACTGGTTTCCACCACCACCAAATGTTGGTGGCAAGGGCGGGCCCATAGACATCAGGTCAGCGCCCACCAGGGCATGGCCCTGCTCATGGAAATGCAGTGGAGTATCTGGAGAAGAGTCTCTTCTTGAGTCTATGAGTATAGAAGTCAGCAGCTGGCTCCTTTGGTTCCCTTCTGGCGGGGGGAATTGAGACCCTCCAGCTATGCTAGCTCTGTCCTGCTGTGACTCGGGGATACGTTTGTGTCAGTGCTGGAAGGGTTTTAAAGATGACAGTCTGTACAGCCATGCACCAGTGACCCTGACAGAGAGGCTGGGCCTTGGGAAGGGAGGATGTCACTGCACTGGGCAGTCACCACCAGCGCTCAGCGTCTCCACAATGGTCACCCTGGGATCACAGCGCCAGGACAAGGGCTGAGTCTCCCAGGCTCTCCTGCCATCTACGGACAGGGTTTCGATTCCCCCCGCCAGAAGGGAACCAAAGGAGCCAGCTGCTGACTTCTATACTCATAGACTGGTTAAGACTTCCGGTGTCCTTACCTTCGTATTGCTTGCAGAGTCAGTCAGTGTTGACTGTTTGCTGGGTGACAGACATGATATTGTGTGTCATCTCATTTATCCTTACAACGCTATCGCGCACAGCGCAGGATCCTATCTCCATCTTGCAAGTGAGAAAAATGACAGCTCAGGGACTTCATACAGCCTCGCCAGTGGCAAATCCAGCCCAGCATCTAGGCCTCCCGATCTTCTTTTTTTTTTTTAATTCAAGTTTTTTATTCTTAATGGTCTCTGAGATCCAACCTCTTTTTTTTTTTTTTTTAAAGAGAGGTGGGGAGAGGCAGAGGCAGAGAGACAGAGAGAATCTTTTTTTTTTTATAATTTTTTGTATTATGTTAGTCACCATACAGTACATCATTAGTTTTTGATGTAGTGATCCATGATTCATTATTTGCGTATAACACCCAGCGTTCCATGCAGTACGTGCCCTCCTTAATACCCATCACTGGGCTCACCCATCCCCCACCTCCTTCCCCTCTAAAACCCTCAGTTTGTTTCCCGGAGTCCACAGCCTTTCATGATTCGTCTCCCCCTCCTGATTTCCCCCTCTTCATTTTCCCTTCCTTCTCCTAATGCCCTCCATGCTATTCTTTATGTTCCACAAATAAGTGAAACCATATGATAATTGACTTTCTCTGCTTGACTTATTTCACTTAGCATAATCTCCGCTAGTTCCATTCATGTTAATGCAAATGTTGGGTATTCATCCTTTCTGATGGCTGAGTAATATTCCATTTTATATATGGACCACATCTTCTTTATCCATTCACCTGTTGAAGGGCATCTCGGCTCCTTCCACAGCTTGGCTATCGTGGACATTGCTGCTATGGACATTGGGGTGCATGTGCCCCTTCGGATCACTACATCTGTATCTTTGGGGTAAATGCCTGGTAGTGCAATTGCTGGGTCATAGGGTAGCTCTATTTTTAACTTTTTGAGGAATCTCCACACTGTTTTCCAAAGTGGCTGTACCAACTTGCATTCCCACCAACAGTGTAAAAGGGTTCCCCTTTCTCCACAGCCTCTCCAACATTTGTTGTTTCTTGCCTTGTCCATTTTTGCCATTCTAACTGCTGTAGGGTGGTATCTCAATGTGGTTTTGACTTGAATTTCCTCTAGGATTTTGATGGATTCCTGTCTCACATTGAGGTCTTTCATCCATTCAGAGTTTAGCTTTGTGTATGGTGTAAGAGAATGGTCGAGTTTCATTCTTCTGTATATAGCTGTCCAATTTGCCCAGCACCATTTATTGAAGAGACTGTCTTTTCTTTTTTTAAAGATTTTATTTATTTATTTGACAGAGAGAGAGAGAGCACAGCAGGGGGAGTGGCAGGCAGAGGGAGAGGGAGAAGCAGACTCCCTGCTGAGCAGGGAGCCCATTGAGGGGCTCCATCCCAGGACCCCAGGATCATGACCTGAGCCGAAGGCAGCTGCTTAACCAACTGAGCCACCCAGGTGCCCCTAACCTCCCGATCTTTCTGAGGTCCTGTGCTCTTCCTGCTACGCCTGCTATCAGCTCAGGGAAGGCATTCCCTCCTGCCATGGGCCTCAGGGCCACTGGGTGTAGAATTTCTTTCTGCCTGGGATGAGACGTAGAAGCAGGCAAGAGCACCACTAGGCACACAACTGAGTCGGGGAGCTGGCAGTTTCCTTCCTTGGCCATGTGAAAATTTTCCAAATATGGGGAGCCATCTGTTGATGATGTGAGGATTGGGCAGCTTCCCCTCTCATCATTAGCTTGGCAGCGATGGAAAGTGAGTCCAGAAAGTGCCCTTGTGTATCATAAAGGAAATTTAAGCCGTATGTTTCTCATTCATTTACTCTTAAGTCATCAAAATGTTGGTTTTAAAGGGGCTTTTGATGTCCAACTTGCTTTCTGCTTTTTTATGGGGGAGAGAGAGAGGAAGTCACGATTCTCTCTAGCTGTAAATCGCCCAGTTTGGGGAAAGCTGGAGATGATCCTGTACCCCCAAATACTGGAAGAATAAAGGAAGCTTCAGGCAGGGGTCTGCTTTAGGAACCCAGGCAGAGACATTCATTTTCATCTAAAACAAACCAAAAAAGCATAGAATGAATGCCATGATAAAGAAACTATGGCTTTGACAGCATGTGACACACTCGAGACAGTAGATACAGTCCTGGAGCTGGGATTGAATCTAAGTGCCCTTGCTCTAAAGCTCTTAACATCTACTGCCTCTTGGAGAAGGAGGGAGGGCACTCCTCAGGCAGGGAGAAAGGGAAAGAACTCTCCAGGTAGAGGATACAACCTCGTAGAAGGCCTCAAGGAGGGAAGGGACAGAAAAGGACAGTGTGGGGAGCATAGCAGAGGGGCCCAAGGGGAGGCTGGCATGCCTGGAGGGGGTCTTGGGGTCAAGGCAAGGATGTCTTCCCTAAGCTAAGACCAGAGGGAAACTGCTGGAAGGTGGAAAAGCTCTCCAGGTGACACATGCGTTCCAGGCTGAGAACCACGGGCAGTCGAAGCAAGGAAAAGTGGACACAAGAGAATCCTTGGGGCCAATCCTTGGAAGTTCATCTAATTCACTGTCATGTTCTAGGGGGTACCAGATCTAAATTGCCATGGACATACGAGCTACTTTCCTGTATTTGTAGCATCTCAAAGAAGGAGCTCCTACAACCTCACTGGGTTATCCATTGGTTGGTCCAGGAGCCCTCATCCTAATGCTTTCCCCTACAGTTTCTACTTATTTTTGTAGAGTCTCAGAGGACTGAAAACAGACACCATTTGTTCTAATGCAACTTGCCCACATTCTTAGGCAATCACCAATGAAAAACATTTATTGGATTCGCACTATGTGAAAGGTTCTGTGAAGATGGGAATATAAAGGATCAGAAGACATTCTTTGGCTGCAAGTTGCTCATATCTGGAGAGTAAGGAAAAAAAAAGAAAACTAGTAACACAAGGCACTGTATGCTAAGTGCCAAATAAAATCTTCCTCTGATTCCCCCTTAGGCAGACCTGGATCGTTCTCTGCCTGTGCTCCTACTGTTCCCGGGACGTACATCACTTCCACATAGCGATCATCCCATGGTATGTGGTCATTCATTTCCATTCAGTCTCCCCAGCAGATTGAGCTTCTTCAGGCCCAACTGTGTCTCTTTCCTCTTTGTGTGAAGCCCTCATCCTTACCTCAGTATGTAGCTTATAACACGTACTCAGTAAGTGTTTCATGGATTATTCAATCGATGGTAGACAATAAGTTTCTCTTAGGGGTTCAGAGGATATAAAAAAAGTTTGACAAAGGCAATGAGGCACCTACCGTATGCCTAACATTTAGTGGTGGCCAAGCAGAAGCAAAATGATGAAGTAGAAAGTGGTTGGAAGACCATCTCCCATAACCAAACTCCAGCTAACATTTTCCAGGTTGTAGCCATGGCCTCTAACTTGAAACACAATGGATTCTGGGAAAATTGATGAGTGAATTGTTCTAATCTGAGGATAAGTGCTGAGTCATGGAGATCCCAAGTCCATCCTGGGCATTCTCTTGGGTGCGGGAGCACCAGATGTTGCTCTGGTTTTTTGGAGTTTCTTGGGATCCCACTCTCTCCATTAGAGACTGTGCCCCCTTCTGAGTCCCTTTCCCTCTTGCTCAAATTAAAACAGCTAATTTTAGATGTTTCCTGATTACTCCTAGCTGGGTCTCATTAGCAGAATTAAAACAGTTGGAACCTCAGCTGGAGAAGGAGCAGCTTTCATTGGTCCTGGTCTGTTTTTCATCTCCACGTTGCTGTTGATGTTGGCTGCCTTGGAGAAAAGCAAAATGAACTCTCTCCTAAGAGAGTGGACCACAGGCTGTTGGCTGAGTGCCTGAACCAGTGGGTGAGGGGTGAAGGAACACATGTCCAAGGGAATGTGACCACCTCTGGTGGCAGGCACATGTTTTGCTCATAACACATCTCGAAAGTGCATAGGCATTCATTTTTTCATTTATATATTCATTCAACATTTAAGTGATCACTTAGCATATAATAGGCTCTCAACTGCGCCCTATCCTAGGTCCTATTGGCCAAGAACTCACTGTCAGGTGGGTGCAATAGACAAGCACATGACTACCAACCCACTAATCCGTGCAGAGGTATGCACAGGGCATTGTGGTAGCATAATAATAATAATCACTCATCTTGGAGTGTTGTGTTCCAAGTTCTGTCCAAGTATTTTATATGAATCAATTCACTGAATCCTCACAATAACCCTGTGAGCAGAGAGAAGGACCACCGAACTTAGTGGAGAGTGGGAAGCAAAGAACAGGTACATAAAGGAGAGGAGGGACATTGCAGGCAGATGACTGCCATGTATAAAGGTGTGGAGGCACTGCATGCAGATGGAGTTTGGGGATCTCTATCTCCTGCAATTCTTTTTCTCTGTCACAAAGAAAAAAAAATCCCTATAAATATCTTACTGTTGGTCATACTTGCTGATCATGAGCTGGATTTCAAACATCTCCAGGGTGTTTTTATTCCACTGAAGACAATCTCGTGCCATAGTTCTGGTCTTCTGCTGGATTTGCACCTTATCTAATAGGACTGGGAGCTCTTAATCTGCTCTTAATTGCTGGGAGCCTCTTAATCTGCTCACCCCAGCATCATCACTTCCCTCTTTCTTGCTCCTCTCCCCGCCCCCATTAAGATCCCAGCAATGTTCTTCTCACTTTTAGTCTAGAGCCTCGTAGGAGAGCTCCTTCCCCTCCACTAACATAGTTCATTTCCTGATGTCACCAGTCACTGGGGCCTCTCTCATCTCTTCTCTTAGAGTCCCAGTCATTCTGGGACTGTCCCTAAGCAGAATCGATAGCAAGAAGACAACAAATACAAGATACATCAGCAGCGGCAGCCACAGTCTGTATCCACCTGTGCATGGCTCGTGCAGACCACCCGAGAGTTCAGCATCTTCCTGTCTGACAATCCGATGCCCAAATGGAGATTTTTGTGGAATCTGAACCAAAGGATTGATGGGAAACCCAAATCCTAGCATGTCGTGTGGACCACCCGAGAGTTCAGCATCTTCCTGACAATCTGATGCCCAAATGGAGATTTCTGTGGAATCTGAACCAGAGGATTGATGGGAAACCCAAATCCTAGCATGGACAAAGCAAAAGGAAGTTGTAGAGAGAGGGGAAATGACAGCACCATTTGGGTCACAGAGGAGATGCTTCTGGAACAACTGAGAAAAATGAACCTGGAGAGACAGAAGGTTACAAATAGTGACTTCTCCCATCCTGAGTCAGATGGGCTGAGAACCTCAGCCCATCTGACCCTCACTGCCACTTTTCAAGAACTTGAAGTTCCTTCTTGGGCTCAAGGTCCTTTCCCTCTCTTCTGCATGTCCTTTGTCCCAAGTGATAGAGAAGTTCCAAGCCCCAGACTGGGACAAGGAGTCAGGGAGCTCTGAATCTGGTCCCAGAGGGGACAGGACAGTGCCTCTGCAGAAAGCCAGCTTTCTTTCCACCCTGTGTCTTGGCTCTGGATAACGATCCTCTCCAGAGCACTTGAGGCCTAGAGTCTTTTTTTAATGGAAACAAGAGACTCGTAAATCCCCAAGCCAGACTCCCTTGAAGCTCCTGGCTCAGCCCCGGCCTCCTGGGCTCTCTGCCATGGGGAACGTCTCCCAATCTGCTCTCCTTCTCCCCAGACTTCACACATTGACTTCTGGCTCTGGCGCTCCAGCCTCTACCCACCTGGCTGGAGGCCTTGGGCCTGCTCTGGTCACAATGGTTGAACATCTTTGGGATGAACTGTAGCCCTCAAATCCTTCTGAAATTTGGGGTTGCTGGATCCAGAGATGCTGACCCAGCATCCTGGGGACAGTCTTATAGATGAGGCTTTGGAGAAGTCCCAGACAGCCATCAAACCAAGAAAAGTTTAAGTGAAATCTAGCCACAGTTACCTTCAGTGGAGGCCCCAGCGCCCAGGTCCCTCCATTCCTTCTGTGGCCCCATCCCAGGATGCTGATCCCCCCACCAGCCCCAGCCAGCTGTCCAGGAGTCTGTCTCTCTTCCACTCTGACGAGGGGGCTCCTGGCCCCTCCCCTCCCCTCTTCCTTTTCCAGTCAACCTTGTCCTTCGTCTAGAGGTCATGAGCAGAGACCTCCAGGTGCAGCCAGCACTGGGATAAGAGGAGTCAATCCCACACTGTCAGGCAGATCTGTCAAGAGGGCTTTAGGGTTTGTAATTAGGAGGGCCAGCTGGGCTCCTTCTTCAGTCTCCCCCCTCCCCCCACCCGCAGCCTGGCTGGTAACTTGACTTCTTAAGATGGAACCAAAAATAGAAAAAAAAGGAAGGAAAGAAAGAAAGAAAGAAAGAAAGAAAGAGAAAGAAAGAAAGAAAGAAAGAAAGAAAGAAAGAAAGAAAGAAAGAAAGAAAGAGAAAGAAAGAAAAAAAGAAAAGAGGAAAGAAAAACCACTAACCCTCACTTCCTCCCTATGTTCTAAAAATCACCTTGTCCTGGGTCTCCCTTCTTAAATCCTGGAATCTTAGGTCTTTACCCTCAGGACTCGCAGGAAAAAGTTTCTGATGGAGGTGGTTCCTGGAAGTCGTCAGAGGAGGGAAGTTTCTTTCCTCTGTGTTACAGCAGGTCAGCCGTGGGGCTCGGGCTGGAACCCCAGCCTCCCCACACGCCATCCTTGATTGGAGCCCATGGGGTGGAAATCACCTGGAGGGCCCCGGGAGCCCTGGAGGCTGGTCAGACTCAGGCCCTAACTTGCAGGGTGACCTTGAACCCTCTTGGGGTCTCAGTTTCGTCACAGGTATAGGAGAATTCCCTCTGCTTTTGAGGTACTCCAGAAAAGCAACTGCCGAGCAGAAGTGTGTATCAGAGGCCGAGGGAGTCTTACAAGGATTTGGAGGAGGAGCTGGTCTGTAGTGTCGTGATTTTAACCCAGAGAGGACCTTGGTCCTGGGGGCCCAGAACGGCTCAGGGAATGTTGTTATGACATCAGAGTGCAGAAATTCATGCTGTCACAGCAGGTGCGGGGAGGTCCCCACTTGTTCCTGAAGATTCATCTCCTTTCTTCAGGCCAGTTCAGAGGAAACTAGAATCTGTGGGCACAGAGCTCTAGAAAAGTATTTCTTGCCGGTTAGGGCAAATCTGAAGCCCCTCGGGGTGTGTGTGTGGGGGCGTCTTTCTCTACCTTCTCTCCCTCTCTCCTGAGGCTCTGTCTGCACCTCCTGGGCCTCACTGTCTCCAGGTCTCACGCTCTCTGTGGGAACCTCCCCCTTTGAGACCCAATTACTGGAACCTCCAGGAAGGTTTAACTGAATATTTGTATTGAAAACAGGAGCCAGGGCCCATGGCCCCGATTAGAGGAAGTGGCGGGGGGGCGGGGGGGGGGACGAGAGGAGCCCAGTGTTGGCTTTTCATTCCGGATTAGAGACCTTTAATTGTTCTGAGAGCAGAGAGTGGGGCTGGGGGATAATGGGTCTGAAGTTTGCTTTCTCCCAGAGCTGCCCCTCGCTCTTCCACTCAGCTGCAGAGCAGGGGTTAGGGCAGGTCCCTGGGCGCTCTGGGCTCGGGCTCAGCCTGGGTCTCAGGAGCTGGGGATGGCCCGCAGCTCTGCCCAGCAGGCGGGCAGCCCGCGCGGGTTCGCATGTGTGTGCAAGGCATGGTGATGAGCACCTCTGTGGAAGGCCCTTGGCCAAGTGTGTGTGTGTCTCTGGGCAGGTGAGAGCAATGCATCATTAGTGACCGCAGGGCCCACCTGCCAGGTGGCTAGACAGGCCCTGTGACTGTACACTTTTATTGAGGCCTAAGAGATGCCATCCATCTCTCTTGCCTGGAAGGTACGAGATGCCATTCTGACAGCCATTCTTCATCTGCATCCTCCTCACAGCTGGGACCTGCCGTTTCTCGGCCCGGCTCGCCCTGGGAGGAGTCGGAGCAGGGGATCGATGGGGCTCCCTCTTTCTCTCAGAGCGAGCGCTATACTGAATCCAAATCCTGGTGTTCTCTGGTTCGCTGCTCACCCTGAGGCCTCCGTGAACATGACTGTTTATTATCTGAGCAGATTTAAGAGAGGCCTCCCTCTTCCAGACGCTGGGTGACTCGTTCTAGGGGGGCTCTGCTGCCCCTCAGGTGCACTCACCTGTAGGGTCTTACCTGGTAAGACAGATACCACTGGCCGTGATTTTATAGCCAAGGACAATTAGGTCATGTAAGTCACTTTCTTAAGGCCACACAGCCGGCTCCAGCTGGGATGTCAACCCATGTTCCAAAACCCACCTTCGCCTTATGCCACGCCAAGAAGCAGCGTCGAGGGCTGAGGGGCGGAGGCTCTGGGGCTAGGCTAGAGACCAGAAAATGTGGTTCTTCTTTTTCTGAAGAAAGATTGGGAGGTGAGGCGTGAAATTCCTCAGTCAAACCTTCCCTCTCCATCCATCCTCTGAGGCTGGGCAGGAGTTGAGATGCCCACCGCTGCCATCACTGAGCGCCCATTAGGTGCCAGGCCCCCGGTCCGTGCTTCGTATGGATAAGGCGTGTGGTCCTTGCCACAGCCATAGGAAGGGGGTTCCTCACCCGACTGTAAGAGGGAAGCAGAGGCACGGAGACGTGGAGTGGCACTCGGAGCCAGGGGTCAGCCGACAGGGACCTGGTAGTCACTGCTGAGCTGCCCGAGGGGAATGCTTCCAGCCAGCTCCATGCCCACTCTCCAAGGGGGCCTACACTGTGGTCAGAGGGAGTGAGAAGGGGAGGGTCGCCATTCTCTGGTCCCCAGGCAGTGTCACTTCCCTCAGCTCCTGGCAGCCCAGAGATCAGAAGAGGCAAGGTCAGGGGACCTGCTTTGGACCCAGAGGCCCCTCCCTCTTCTTGTGGCCGGCTGGGCCTGGTAGCATCGGGAGCTCTAGATTCGAGGGCGGTGAGCTTCCTTAGCGCATCCCAACAGGGGCTGAGTCCGGCCCCTCTGGTAGCAGTCCCCAGGCGTAGGTCGTTGGCCGTGGCCTTGGTGGTAGGCGCGCGTGCAGGGGGCAGGATGTGTGCAGCTCTCATGTGTCACCGGGCCTGGAAGGGAGGTGACAACACACAGAGGCACCCGTACATCGTATGTGGTTCCTTCGCCTTCTTGTTGGAGAGAACCTGGGGTTCAGGGGGCTGGGAACACGGGAGGAGCCCGAGTAACGGAGCCAGGAGTTTGGAGCACCCCCATGAGGCTCCCCACGCATGGGCTATGCAGCAGCATGAGCTTAAACCCACTCCGGAGGCCAAGCGGAGCTGGGAGGGTGCGGGGGCTGGCTCCCGTTGCAGTAAGCGGGAGTGGGAAAATGCAGCAGTTTGCGTCTCAACTAAAGCTTGAGACAGTCCTGGAAGCTTGTGACTCAGGGCCCGCAGGTTTGGAGCTGAGAACATTGCGGGGAGAAAAACCACATGTGAGCCATGACTGCAGGGCCCCAACCATTCTGCTGCCCACTCGCCTTCCTCCACCCTCGGGACCTGCCCTGCTGCCCTCCCCTCACCCCTGCCAGAGCCTAAAACACAGCCCAGCTGTAGGAACATCAGCCTCTCCTAGTGTCGTTGGGTTCCTGCACAAGCATAGCAGGTCTCGAGGGGCCCGTAGGGGTGAGGCACCAGGCAAGTGGGGATTCGACTCTTCTCCTGGGGCTGGGAAGAACATCCCTGAGGAGGGGCACCTTCCAGACCTGCTGTCCACGGGGATACTCAGAGCAGTTCCCCACCCAGAGGGCGGGGTGGGGCAGGAGAAAACAGAATTTGGAAAACAGAAGCTGGAATTTGGATACAGGGTCAAGCCCACTCTGCAGTGTGGGGAAGAAACTGGGGGCCGCCCTGGGGAGAAGCTGGGGATGAGGGCCTTTGGGCCCTTTGGCATTAACGGGTTATGTAAATAACATGCAAATTGGCCCTTTATTGTGTTTTAGTCAATAGCCTGGCATTTTTTATCTTTGACTGGAAGCTTTGGTCTCCGTAGGCCCCAGCAGGTCACCAGGTGGGAGGGGGCCGTGGGCCGCTACAAAAGGAGGATGGGAAAGGAGGAATCATCACTTTTGTCTGCCCAGGAGCTGTCATACCAACAGGGCTGCCCAGGGGGCACTGGCGGCAGATAGGCCCTGGGAGCCCCTCCCCGTGGGCCCTCTGATGGCAGTGCTGACATTTATAGGCTGGGTGTGCTGGGGGCTGGTGGGGAGGGCGGCCTGTGCAGACCTGATGGATGGGCCTGGCAGCCGCGCTAGCCACCTGCTGGGGGCGGGGGCCCAGGCTCTGCAGAGCAAGGTCAGGCTGAGGGCGGAGGGAGCTCCTGGTAGCCAAAATGTCCATGGTGGGGGGCTGTCAGGAAGGGCTGGTGATGGGAGGTGGGTGTCTGGGTATTTCCCATCGGAGAAGCTGGGGTGGGTGGAGGGAAGAACGGGTCCCTTGTGGGGCGGATCAAGCTACACTCTGGGAGGGACTTGGCCAGAGAGGACCAGGTTGGGCTGTGTTTTTAGTCCTCCTGAAGGACAAATGTGCCCATATTTTGTGCAGATATCAGGGTGCCTGTGTTGGGGAGGGATGGGGTCTAAATGCAAAATGTAGGCAAAGCAAATATTGCTTTTCTTGTCAGGATCTTCTGCCCTACCCCCCCCCCCCCCACACACACTCCTTCCTTTATTAGAAAAGGAATCTGGTTTCCATGGAAACCTGGCCACATAACTAAAGTGTCTGAATTTACATCCTTGAATGTAAAATAATGTCTCTCCTCCCACCTGTATTTTCCAGTGTTCCAGAATGCAATGCCTGAATTCTCTCTCTGCTCGGTCCCAGAAATTTCACCCTCTCCTTTTAGGCAAGCTCATGCCCCACATAACATCTGAGAATTGCGGGGTGGGAATGGGGGGGCAGTCTGGCCATTCCTGCCTTGTGCTTACAAAACTGGGACCCACTTGCCTGTCCTCAGAAGTAGGAGACTACCACAAACACTACCAGAGGCGGTCCCCTAGCTCAGGATGTCCCGCGCTGGGGGAGATCTGTGAGTCTGAGCTGAAAAGAGTTCAGAAGTGTGTGGTGGGTGGTTCCGGACTGTTGTAGGAACACAGGAAGTAGTGTTCCCTGCTGTCCCCCTTTCCAGCCCATTTTACAACCTGTGTCATGGCATGAGCATCATCTCCCAGAAGCCCCTCGGGTAGACTGGCACCCTGGGCATTTGCCCTACTTGCTGGCGAGAATCTTGCTTCAAGGTTGAAGGCTGTCTGGGGTGGTTCAGGGGTTGAGGCAACAGGGTTGGGGCGGGGGCCAGCAGTCAGCGGTCCAACCAGCCACCTCCTCACTTCATAAATTCCCCTGCCACTTCCCCGGGATACCTTGAGTTTGACCTCGGCCTGGGGAGCCAAGTCCTTTCTTTGTCCCCTAATAAACAGCCTCAGCCCCTGCTGGCCTTCAGCTGTTCTGCAGCCCCTTGGGCCCCACCCCCACTCACCCTAGAGGTTCTTTCTCCCTGTGAAGTCTCATTAACTGGAGGCTTGGGGCCAAGGCAGGGCTCCTGCAGACCACCTATCTCCTTATTAGCGCAATCATTTCTGTTCGGTGTGATGGCCTGAGCTTCTCCTGGAAGCCTGTCTACACAGATGCCCCTCCGAGGCCACTAGAAAACACTGCCTTGTGTCCTCAGAGTGACCAGAGCATTCCTCCCCTTGTTGGGGGTATGGGGGAATTTGCCAGGGCTTCTCAGGGCCCACGGGAGGCAGCTACTGTTGGATCAGATCCAAGATGGCTGGGTCTCTCAACACCTCCTCCGTAAAAGATGGCTCTGGCTTTCTTTGCAAAGAGATCCCTTTCCTCACGGCATTTGCCCATGGAAGACCCGGAAAGCTCAGTTTGCCCAGAAAGTTTCCGTTCCTTGTCACAGCTCTTTCCTTCCCTAAAATTCAGTGCAAAACCTAAGCTGGGTGAAAAAATTCTCACGAGGAGACTTGGAATGTTCTTTGCAGGTGATGGTGAAAAGAAAACCGCAGGCCCCAGATGGCATCGCTTAGGCCAAGTCACCAAATTGGGGCTTAATACCTCAAGTAATTGCCGTTTCTACCTTCCCTAGAACGTAAGTCTTAACCGGTCAGTTAGGAATTTTCTGATCAGCACCAATGAGGTAATCTGTCACATGGGCCCTCTCCATCCCTCAAAGGAAGATAGGTCATTTACCTACTAAGACCTCCCTGCCCTTCCCCCACAAGGGAAGGTGACCTGGCCTGGAACAATCCTTTCTTTTATTTTGCTAATAACTTTCTTGCCCAGCCTCCTTTCTATAAAACCCTTCTATTTTGTACAGTTCCTCAGAGCTCTCCTCTACTTGCTAGATGGGGTGCTGCCCAATTCATGCATC